ACATGAGGTACAACCGTAGATGTAGTTTTTTTCAAAGAATTGTAATCAAATACTGGTAGCTTTTATTAGTATTCACTTAAATCAATGTGAAAAAAAAAAAGAAATTGTATTGACATTTTAAGCTTTTTACTTGCTGATTAACAAATTCCATTTTACGAGGACAGCTATTATATTGTTAACACCTAACTATTTCATGTTATCACTATCTGCTATCATGCAGTCCCCAAAAATTTAACTTGCTACTTGGCTTAAATTAAAAGAAGACTGGTAGCCTAGGCAGATTTCATGAAAAAAATGTGATTTCATGTAAAAAAAAAAGTGATAGTTCAACTTGTTAATGTTTTAAATAATTCACCTGTGTTAAGATTGCTCAGGGCTTATGAAGGATTTATATCCTGATGCTTTGAAAAGTTAGTCCCTTTTTACATGATGTGCACTTGTGATGTGCTCTTAGCTGTATCGCAATGTTTTGACTGGTCCCAACATAATTATATTACTTGGGGGAGGGGGACATGCTATATGGGTGGATTCTGTTTAGATGACTTTCATACGTAAAAGCCAGTCTATTAATTGTTAACCCCTGAAATTGATGGCATGCAGATAAGTGTACAACTTAATGTGAAAAGGGTCTAAAAATCTTTAATAACATGAAATATCTCTCTCCTCACCTTGCCTGGAGTTCAACTCTTTGTGAGCAGGTTTTTTTGTAGCCATATTGCACATGGTATGTACAGAATTCTCCTTGACTCCTGAAACCAGAAAAGAAACAAATGACGGTATCACATATTCTGTACTTTAAAGAAGTATGTCTTTTTGTATCCATAGGTTATGTGGTATATATATGTCTCCACGGTGAAGACAGAGGGATATTTAAAAAGTGAACAGATTTTACTGATTATTGATCAGTACTATAAACAGCTTAGTTTAATCTTTATTGATATGGATTTGACCAGATGTATTTGTAGAAGTTTGCTTAATAAACTTTTAAATTCTCTCAGTGTTCAGGAAGTGCTTTTTTATCCAAACTATTTACCTTTTTCAGCTTAATCTTTTTTCCGAATATAGTTTTTAAGAGATATTAATTAAGAGAAATGTGTTCTCATTTTATGAGGCATGACATTTTGATCCTTCATGAAAAGGCTATGATCATGTCTGAATATCCTTAGAGATCACACCAGAAAGAGTCGGGATCTATACCGGGATCTATACACAAAAAGCATGTGAGGTGTCTATAGATTTGATTTACTTTTCTTACCATCATTATACAAGACACAAAGAAAAACCACCTAAAGTTTACTAAATTCACTTAAAACCAGTGGGCATGCAAATCTAATTAATTCTTACTTGTTAATGAAGTTAGAGCAGTCCTGTCCAGATTTAGTTTTGGCTCTGCACCTCCCCATATCCTTGGACATTCCTAATATCATCACTTTCTGATAGTTATCAACAGTGAAGCTGACATCGAAGGAATTTTGTTTCTAAAAAATAAAATCAAAATCATTGTCATTTTTGGCCACCCTGTTAAAGTAACAGTAACAGTAAAATGTGATTTATGGAAGAATATTGGGATTTTTAACTGGGATAAAAAAACTGGAATATGCACACCATTTAACAAGTAATGGTTTCTAAAAGCCATAAGGGTTTATAAGTACTCCAGCACTAGTAAATATGAACAACAGACATAGTGATATCAACCAAATCCCTGATTTCAAATTGGTTTTGACATGCAGGTCTTTTGCCAAAAAGTGCTACTGTGACTTAAGATTTTCAGTCTTTTACAGAATTTTTGAAATTTTGTTTACATTTTTCCTTTAAGTTACATCTCAGTACTATTCAAACTCAATAGTTACAAACACAGAGTGAAATCTTAACCGAGACAGAAGACAAAAAATGTGTATTCCCTGAAAATCTGGAATATGGCTTCACCTTTTCAGAGACAGGCATTATTGAGGGGTTGAGCACAGCTATTACTTTCCCAGTCTCTGTCTTCCACAGGTGCTTGTAAACCTCTCCAAACAGGAAAAATGACACAATTTTATCACAGTCCTCCAAGTCGCTCAGCTTCCAGATAACAAAATTTTTACCCTGAAAATAGTAAAATGGAGTCTCTATGTATCATATATCAAGTGAAAAATAAACAATTCATTTATTACCAATTAAGATAATTTCTTTAAGTAACAGATATAACAGTAACGTGAGTTCAACCTTCACTCTTTATGTGAAATTGCGTTTGATTCAAGTATTTTTAAATAATCTTGGGCACCACCTTCCTTAGGGTCAACTAAAAACTTAACAATTTTATTTTCATTGTAAAGAAGAAAAAAAAAACAATGTTAAATGATGATAATAACCTTGGAAATTTCTGTATGTCTTGGACAAAAATATGACTCAGGTTAATTCAACAAACCTATCGCCCTCAAACAAATGCAATGTTGAGACACATGATTGCCACACCATTTAATATGCTTCTCTATATACAAGCAGCTTTAATCTAACAGACTTATGACCCATGCCATAATGTGTTGCCCACTACCCTGAATATGTGAATTGACGCTGTGTTTCACATCAGAATTCTAGTAAAACATTTTCAGGGGAAGATCCAGAGATGTTTACTGACTATCTTTGCTTAACCATTCTCCGACAGAGAAAATAAGATGCCAGTTAATGTTTACCCAAAAAGAGGACCCAGTAGATGGCCTCCGTCCGCCCCTGACTTTGCAAGTACTTTGCATAGCACATGTATTGCATTATCTTCAAACAATCAAAACCCACACAAACTCACACAACCAAATCAACCTTATTTCAATCCATAATACATACATTCCCACTCAGTCTTGTCTCTGACTTGGACACCACTACTCCTGTGGTGACCCAGTCGCCCTCCATCTCCCTGGTACCAACTCTACGGTGAAGCTGAGACAGTTTT